TAAACTCTGAGTCAACAGTAGATATAATTACCATTGTTATTTATAATTTTTATTTTGAAAATGGCGTTGGTGTAGAAATACAAGACAACTCTGCTTCAGCAGTTGTAGAGAGTAATTTTCGGTTCCCTTCCTCTGTGACTTTGGGAATCTTTAGATGTAGTCAGTAGATTACCCTAGGAAGGAGCAACTTGTGGATGGCTCTTCCCTGCCCGCGTGCAGCCAGCCTCCAGGCCTCCGTTTAAGCACCATTTCCTCCAGAACCCCTCGATCCATGACAGGTCACCCCCATTTCCTTCACAGCCCTTACCACAATTGTAATTGGGTGGGGATTTGTGTTGTTATTTGTTTAACGTATAAGCAGTATAATTTTTCAAAAGTTGAAAACATGACTTTCATCTAAACGTAGAGTGAGTATATGTCAATGATTTACCTAACCCAGGAGACTAGCAGCATGACGGGGCTGGTTCTCAGAGCATTTGTCAGTTGGGAAGGGCGTGCTGAAGCTAGTTGGCTACCTTACAGGCAAAACAATTAGTGCCGTACAGGGCAATAAAACTATAAGCTTTTGTGTTATCTTTAGTACTAGACAAAAATCATTTGCTTCTTCACTGGACAAAAGTCTAAGCGTACAAATTAACATATAGCTTCACAGGGGCTTGGCTTGTATCTGTGGTAAATAGTAAATAAAAGTACATTCTACTTGAGAATGAAATAACTCCTGGCGGGGGCGGGGGCAGCGGCTGTTAAATAAAGCTTCGGTATGACTTTGAAAAGACGTGCAGTCATCTTTATGCCTTACTACCAATATTTGACTTAGCAGATGTCTATCTCCTCATTTTTATTGTTTAAAGCAATATACTTATTACTTTTAATGGTAAAGCATTTATCATTAAAACCAAGAACAAGACCGGGACTTCCCTGGCAGTCCAGTGGTTAAGACTCTGCGCTTCCACTGCAAGGGGCATAGGTTTGATCCCTGGTTAGGGAACTAAGATCCCACATGCCATCCAGTGTGGCCCCCAAAACAGCAACAAGAGCAACAAAAACCCTGAGAACAAGAAAACCCATTTACATATCATTATTTAGGAGTTCTGACCAATGCAATAAAGTTAAGAATAAATGCAACTGGCAGGAAGGCAAAGAGTTTACATAGTGTTACTAAATAAATATTAAATAAAATTTAAAATATGCCATGTTACTGGTGAAAAGACAATATAGGAAAAATGTGTTTTCAGAAAACCATTTTATTACCATAATTGATATTTTACTTATAATTTTATCTGAAAGAACAAGCAGGCAACATAGACAAGAAAATTCACAAAGGGTAATAACAAAATAGTATTCTTGACAGATATTCAATATATTTGTAGATAAAACAGAGTGACGTTGCCTTAAAAACATAGAGCTATCAATAGAAAGACAGAGAAAGCTCCTGAAAGGACTCGAGTCCAGCAGCAGGTGAGTCCCTGGTGCTTCCCTGGGGGCGCAGTGGTTAAGAATCCGCCTGCCAATGCAGGGGACACGGGTTCGAGCCCTGGTCTGGGAAGATCCCACATGCCGTGGAGCAACTAAGCCAGTGTGCCACAACTACCGAGCCCGTGTGCCACAACTACTGAAGCCTGCGTGCCTAGAGCCCGTGCTCCGCAACAAGAGAAGCCACCGCAGTGAGACTATGTGGGACTATGTGGTCCTGTATCCTCAGCCTGGCACAGTGCCTGGTGTCTACACCAAGCCTCTGGGTTTGGGGGAGGCCTGTGGTGTCTTTGCCGTAATGTCTTGTTGGCTGTGCCCTCTGGGGTGTGCCCTAGCCCCGTGCCTGGAGCCAATCCCCGTGGTAGAGTTGGTTTCCTAAACTCACACCTGGTGTCCTAGATTTTATTTTGCATTTTTGTGTTTAAGTTCAGAAGATGGAGCTATCATTTAATTTTCTTCATGGTGCCTTTAGGTTTTATGATCAAAACCACAGTTACTTTATAAAAAACAAAATGAGTTATATGCTGTTCTCTATATTTCGGAATAGTTTTGGTACCAAGAAGGGAGTAAATTGTTTTCTGAAATTTAAGACAATAATCTAGTGACTCCAGTAGTGCCATTTGTTTTTTGGGGACATGAACTTTTTATAACTGTTTCTATTTCTGTAGTCTGTTGACCTATTTACGTTCTTTCTTTTGTGATATCTAATTTATTATTTCATACTTAGCAGCTACCTACAGAGTATTAGTTATCATACTTACGAATGCATAGCTTAGAATATCATCCCTACTTTAAAGTAGTCATTTCTATTTATTGCCAATATGTTTTTTTCACCGCACATTTTAAAATTTTTAATAAATTTGCTAACTAGGGATTAGCAATTTGGGGGAAGAATTGGGGTTTGCTTTTATTTATTTTTTCTTCCTTATTAATCTTATTAAGAGAAAAATCAGTGCTCTTCTAAGCACTGCTTTGGGAGAACTCCACACTTTTAATATGGAAATATTCTTTCAAAATATTCTGTTATATAAGGAAATTTCTTCTTGATGTAGGAAGTACTGAAGCACTTAAAATTTTTATAAGGTGCCGAGCTGTTAAATTCTGCATGCATTTTAAAACTCTGGTTCATTGAGATGTGATTTATATACAATAAAATGTATCCCTTTTAACCAGAGAATTTAATGAGCTTTGACAAATGTATACAACTGTGGGACAACCAGCACAATCATGATATAGAACACTTCTGTCACTCTAAAAAGTTTTCAGTGCTCCTCTATAACCAAATTCCATACCCTACCCCCGGTGCCCGGCAACCACTGATCTGTTCCCTCTTCCGGTAGTTTTGCCTCTGAGAAAATGTCATGTAGATGCCATCATACAGTGTTAGTAATTTGTGTCTGGCTTCTTTGGCTCTGAATAATATTTTTTAGATTCATCCATGTGTTGCACGCATCAACAGAATGCTCATTTTCATTGCTGAGCAGTATCTGTTATGTAGATGTGCCACATTTGCTTGTCCACTCACCAATTAGTGAACATTTGGGCTCTTTTCAGTTTTTGGCTATTATGAATGAAGCTGATAGGAATTTTGCCTGCACTTTTAATTTCTACTTTTATTGTTTTTATTATTGTGGAATATTAGATGTTCTGGCTTCATTTTATCTCCTTTCACATATAATATGAATTTTTATGAGATCCTTATATTCTTAAAATCAGAGTGTATTCTTCTATCTTTTGCGCCTCTCCCTTGTCTGTCCAACTGATGCTGTTGATCAGCTCTGCAATTTCTTTTATTAATTTGTTATTTATCGATTACTCATATTCTGGTTATTTCATATTGAGAGGCAACATAATGTAGTGGTTAAGAGCATGGGCCCTGGAGCTCGACAGACTCAAGTCTGAATCACGGGTTCACCTCTGATTAGCTGAGTCGTCGTGGCAAAGACACTTCACCTCTTTGCATCCCAGTCCCCTCATTGGTAAAACAAGGAGAACAGTTATAGCAGCTGCCTTATAGGGCTGCGAGGATTGAGATAATGTATGTAAGGTGCCCAGCACAGTTTCAGGCACTTAGGAAAATCTCAGTAAATGGTAGCTTTGGCTGCTTTTATAGTGGAACAGTTCGGTTTCTAATGTCAATTTATCTCATTTTTTCTTGAATTTCAGTTATTTTTATTGTATGTGTTATGTTCAGCTGTTGTTTGGGACATAAAAATTCAGTGTTGTTGGACTTTCATTCTTTAACCTGTAGTTTCCAACTTTCATGGAATGACTGGCTCATCTCTCAATGCTTTTACCACGATACTGGTGTTAACAAGTACTTTTTATGGCTGTGATGATTGTTTTTATGATTGTTACCATCATGCTTTTGTAACTCTGCTCTTACAGTGTTCTCACGGGGTTGAGTGGCCTCCAAGTCACATGCCTACGAAGGCCACACAGACAGCATAATTGTGAGAAACAGACCAAGACTACGGCAGTCAGGGCTCAGCTACTCCCTGACTGTTTTCATCACCTTTGAAAACAGCAATGCATTTGTCACAACCTGCCCGTCTCAGCACCTGCCTGGAATCTCGCCTAAGTTTTGTCTGTCAGTTAAAAGAATTCTTTTAGTTGTATCTGTTTCAGGCAGCCAGTTATAGGATTTATGTTTTCCTAAAGGCTGCATTCTGTGTGGGAATATTCTTGCTTATACTCACCGTGATATTGAACCCGTTCGTAGTAGTCATAGTATCTGCCACTAAGTTTAGCTGAACTGTTGTTCGAGTCTAGTTTTATTTCTACTCTGTTTTTTTCAGTGTAAAAAAACCTCTTTGACATTTTTTAAATGGCACGGATAATACACGAATATACTATCATTGTAAAAGGTTTGGTACAGAAACTATACAGAGGCGTAGAGCATGAGATGTAAGAATCCCTTTCAATTTTTCCCTCCCCCAGTCTCACTCCCTTCCCAAGGGAAAATCCCGGTAGCAGTCTAAGAGAACCTTTCTGCTCCTCTTTCCTATACACTTAAAAAAAATTTCTGGGCTTCCCTGGTGGCACAGTGGTTGAGAGTCCGCCTGCCGATGCAGGGGACACGGGTTCGTGCCCCGGTCCGGGAAGATCCCACATGCCGCGGAGCGGCTGGGCCCGTGAGCCATGGCCGCTGAGCCTGCGTGTCCGGAGCCTGTGCTCTGCAACGGGAGAGGCCACAACAGTGAGAGGCCCGCGTACCGCAAAAAAAAAAAAAAAATTTCTATACATCATTCTTCCCACATATATAAATATCTTTTAAAAGTAAATTATGTATTTTATACTGTTCCATGATATCCTTTTAAAAGTACTTAAGACTACGTCTTGTGTTGGTATACAGCTCATTATTTTTATTTATTTTTTTAACTTTTTGATTATTTACATTTCCATTAAACATCTGTATGTTTATATGAGTCATAAACACATAGCCATGGAAGCTCCTCTGAGATCACTACTGTTACAGGGAAAACAGACCAGAGGAAGTGGATGGCTTTCAGTAACACCTCCAACAATGACGCCTCTATTGAAATGTTTATTGACTACATAGCACGTGCTAGGTCTCTTGTCCCTTGACCTGCTCCACTCTATCCTTATACCTAAATAACCAAGACAGCTGAGTCAATCAGGCAGCTTTTAAATTACTTTCAGTGGCGAAAGAAATAGACTGATGGTCACACAGCCACAGGTATCCAGCTGGCATCCTGGGCTCATGTATCGCCATTCAGCTCATTATTTTTAGAGATGTTCCAAAATTCATTTCCCTTGGGTAGGAACTTGCATTGTTTGCAGTTTTCTGGTTTTACAAATGATGATGCAGTAGACAGCCTTGTGCATGCCTCTTTATGCAGGAAGAGCAGATATCTATATGAGTGGCAATGCTTGGTCACATGGTGTGCACACTGAAACACATGAGTAGATAAACTTCCAGATTACTCTGCAAAAGGCTGAGCCCATTGGTGCAATCGTCAATACATACATGGAAGTACCCATTTTTCACACCCTCCTAAAATATTTATATTTTTATCTTTATGATTTTGCCACTCTGATGGATAAAACTGGTATGTCACCAGTGCTTTAGTTTATATTCCCCTAAATAGTAGTAGATTAATCCTTTTACATGTTTATTGGGTATTTGGGGGCCTACATTCTGTATTTTCTTCTTTAAAAAATGTTCAAGTGTAATTTATTGTAGGAAAGCGCATAGATCATAAGTACACAACTTGGTAAATTTTCAACAACTGAACATACCCCTATAGCCATCACCCAGATTAAGAAACAAAATATTACCTGCATATGACTTGTGTACTCTCCAGGTCTTTCCCTGGAAAGGGTCTTTCCCTTTCTCCAGGCATTCCCTTCGAGCGTTGCTCCTTTTGCACTTTGTATAAATGACAGCATACAAGATGTGCCCTATCAGGTCTGGCTTCTTTTGCTCAGTGTGGTGTTGACAGATTCTTCCATGTCACTGAGTGTGGGCACAGATCTTTCCTGCTCTTCACGGTCTGGTGTTCCCCTGTATATCACCATTTGCTCGTCCGTTCTATTGTTGATGGACGTTTGTGTCGTGTCCAGGTTTTGGCTGGCTAGCGCTGCTGTAAACAATCATGTACAGGTTGTAGAGCAAACTGAGTTTTCATTTCTTATGGGGAAATATCTAGGCGTGAACTTGCTGGGTCATGTGTTAAGTGTACGTCTAACAATGTAAGGGATCATCAATCTGTTTTCCAAAGTGGCTTTACCATTTGCACTTCCATCATCAGTGCCTGAGAGTTCCAACTGCATTGCATCTGCTCAGCCTTTGGTGTTGTATTTTTTATTTTATCCACTCTAATGCATGTGACATGGTGTCTTGTTGTGTTTCATGTGCATTTTCCTAATGCCCAGTGATGGAGAGTATCTGTACATGTGTCTGTTTGCCTTCTGCATATCCTCTTTGGTCAAGTGACTATTCTGTAATTTTCTCACCAAAAACCTGGGTTTTTTTGGTTTCTTACTGTTGATTTCTGAGAGTTCTTGATATATTCTGGATGCAAATCCTTTGTTAGACATATGATTTGCAAATATTTTCTCCAGTATGAAACTTCTTTGGCCCACGCGAGTTTTACAGTTTTTTTTTTTTTTTCGCGGCACGTGGGCGTCTCACTGTTGTGGCCTCTCCTGTTGCACGGCATGTGGGATCCTCCCGGATCGGGGCACGAACCTGTGTCCCCTGCATCGGCAGGCGGACTCTCAACCACCGCGCCACCAGGGAAGCCCGAGTTTTATGTTTTTATGTAGACAAATTTCCCAGTCTGTTTTTTTTAGCTTCTTTTGTTAGTGTATTGCTTTAGAGGGATTATTAAAGTTATATACACCTTCCTTTCTACTGTTTAAAAAATAACATTAAAAACCATCAATAGACATATTAAAACTTACATTTTTTCCTGTCCAGTATCTTCTTCCTTCTCTCAAAAATAGGAAAAACTTCTCATGCCTTTTCTTCTTTTCCTTCTTTCCTTTCCTCACAGTCTCATATTGTGATGCAATTCCAAACTGCTATTAGCCTGTATCATCATTTAGCTTAATATTTTGTTCTTGCTTTTGTTTTCCTCTAAGCATGTTGTCTAGGCATTTCTTTCAGAGAGAGTTCACAGGTTACAAACTTTTAACTTCTTGAATATTAGAAAACATTTATTTTCTCCTCATTCTTAAAGGACTAGGTAATAATTACAAGTTGAAAATAGTTTCAAGGTGCTGTTTCATTGTCTTCCTGCCCCCAGTATGACAGTGAGAAATGCAATACCATCCGATTGCCATGGATTTTTTTTGTCTACTTATTTATTTTCTTTGGAAATTTTAGGATTTTCTTTTTACCTTTGGTTTTCTGAAGTATCACCACAATGTTCTAGGTGTTAGTCTTCTTAAAATCTTTTTAAAATTTGTCCTTCTTGACACTTTGTGTGCCCTTTCAATCTGAAAACCCATATATTCTTTCAAAAAATTTTGTGATAGCAAAACATATGTGTTTCTTTATTTACACATTATAATGTGTAAATTATATATTATATACATTATATATAACAAGATCTAGCAGCAAGTCTAATAACTACCATAATTTCAAGGTTATGATGAGCTTACATGATATCCGAAGATATGAAAATATCTGTGATTTCTATTGGTGACAAAGTCACACTGTTAATGCATTGAAAGCCCATACATTCTTTTTTTTTTAAACTTTTTACTTTATTTTGGAGCATAGTTGATTAACAATGTTGTGTTAGTTTCAGGTGTACAACAAAGCGATTCAGTTATACATATACATGTATCTATTCTTTTTCAGATTCTTTTCCCAATTAGGTTGTTACAGAATACTGAGCAGAGTTCCCTGTGCCATACAGTAGGTCCTTGTTGGTTATCTGTTCTAAATATAGCCATGTGTACACGGCTAGAATGAGGTGAGAGGAGGGGAGAAAGGAGAACGAGAGGAGGCGGAGAAGGGAGGGGAGAATGAGAGGAGGGGAGAAAGGACGAGAAAGAGAGAGAGGAAGAGTGAGAGGGAGGGAGAGAGGGAGGAAGTGGAGGGATGCGGGGAGAGCGAACCTTCATCCGTGCACACACATCACATGCAGACCGGGTGCAGCAGCAACGGTGGCAGGCTCATGGCTGGCAGTGATTGGTCACGTTCTTCCGGCCCAGGAATATTCTGGTTTTCTTTCTTGGTCTCTTCACCTGTGTCTGCTCTTATCTCTGTGCTCACCCCTTCCACCCGCCTTACTCCCCATTTTGTGCTGTTGAATGTACATTTTAACTGGAGACATGCAGGCATGTTAAAGTTTGAGAAGCACTGCTCTACAGAACTCCTGTTCACCCCCGATGCTCTCAGAATAATTTGTTTCTCACCTTCAACGGTAGAGTGCAAATTCCTTAAGGATAGGCTTCTTGACTAATTCATCCTCAAGGCTGGAGCACCTAGCACAGTGCTTTTTGTTTTTGTTTGCGTACAGAGCTGCTCATAAATATATTTGAATAAATGACTTTTCCTGACTTTCACCTTTAGAAAAATTGTAACCTTTCTGGGAAATGGTCAAGTTGAACAATTTTGAGAATTAGCAAATCTTGGAAGGCTTCTAGAAGTAGAGTGTGGTCAGAAGAATAATGTCCTTCCCCAAAGTCTTAATTAATCTAAATCCTAAATCCCCACTGCCCAGACACGTGAGTACATTCCTTTATGTGGCAGATGTGATTGAGGACCTTGAGGTGGGGAGATGGCCCTGGGTTATCCCAGTGGAGCCAAGGGGATCACACGAGTCCTTAAAAGCAGAGAACATTTCTGGCTGCAGAGAACCAGAGCGATGGCAGTGTGAGAACTTGACCTGCCAAGAATGGGGAAGAATTGTTTCTTCTTTGGTTGTGGAGAATTGTCTCTCCCAACACAAAATACATGCTAGTATTCCCATCTCACAAACAAGACATTTGGGGCAAAAGAAAGTCAGACAACTTGTCCAAGGGCACAAGAGGTAGTAAAGCCTCAAATTTATATATATATTCAGAAACCCATGATCTTCCCACCATATGCTGCTGTCTACTGGGAAGGCTGTTGGCAAAATAATTACACACGTTGGTTTTTACTATGAATCAGGAAGATAACAAATGCAAACTTGATATTAAAAAATTTACCGGGAGGTAGTGGAATTTCTGATGGACATGTAGAGATATTTATTCATCCGTTCATTTATAACTTTTAGTACAAACCTTCTCTGTATCTACTCTGTGGTAGGCATAGGTGCAGAGCATGAAGAGAAAGGGGGAGAAAAAGTTTAGAAAGGAACATGCTGGTACGGGGATGCCTCCATGCCACTTAGCACCATGGTGTTCTAAATCAACAAAGTCAAGATTTGAGAGTCTGGACAACTTTGACACCCAGAAGGGTTGCTTTTCCTGAACCTCTAATCGCTTTATATTGAAAGTCACTTCAGTCTCTTCCTTGTGACCTCTCTGCATCTTTGGTTTCATTGAAGTATAATCTGGGCAGCTTCTGTGGAAATTTATCATCGCATTAAGCAAGAAGATACATTTTGATTCAGGGAAAACCTTCATCTCTTATTTAAAGTCCAAAAGTTAAAAGGCATTTGGAGTAAATTTTCTTCTTTCTTGAAAGTGTCTTTCCTTTATTTTTATTTTTTTCACAAATTAAGTCCGAGACTAAAAATGCAAGACCCAGAGACCAGGTGTGTCACACCAAGACCACCATTGCAGCGGGTACTTGTCAGATACTTCATCTTCCAGCTCAGTCCTCCAGCGGATCCAATTTTGTTTGACAAGTGTAATCTTTTCAACAACAGGGCCATTCAGGTTCACTCCATTTATTCCCAAGCTCTTCAGAGAGCATCTCTGCTTGACTGCTTCAAGGATCTCTCTGCTGGTGACGGCTCTTCTGTGGATGTAGAGGGACAGTCTAACCGCCTCTAGGCTAACCCCTTCCAGCCACCAAGTCCTCCAGAGCTCCCCATGCATCCAAGATCCAGAAGCACCCACTGAAGTCCGGGTGGGTTCGCTTTAGGATTTTCCCTGTGCAACTAAAATATGCCTCCTTCTTCTTCCTCTTCTTCTTCCCAGAGGCAGAGCTGGCCCTTCTCCTTCTCTTTGGCTGGGGTATAAATTGTGGGCTTCTTCTTAGGGAATCGTAGGCCATGTAAGCAAATGAAGTGCATGTGGCAGACTTGTCTTTACTCTTCTAGCTCAGAGCACTGGCCGTCTGGAGTAAATTTTAATGTGATTCGTCGGAAAGATTCTTTCAGTTTGAACTCTCTCCTAGTGTAAAAGGACGAACTCATTAAGTTCTCAAAGGTCTCCAGGAAGACGGTGACAATTGAGTGCTACATTGCGGCACTTAGTGTTTCTGATAAACCTTGAGAATGAAAACATGTTTGACCCTTTTGACATCACTTACCTAAACACAACACTTAACCAAAACAATTATGTTTGTTGACCTTGGAGCAGAGAAACTCTCAGCGTCCGGAAAGCTCAGGGAGACTATTGTTCAAGTGTAAGCCTGTCCACCTGCCCTCTGCCCGTCTCTTCTGTTGAGCTGGTCTTTGGATTTTACAGTCCTTTGGGATTAACCCCTAGAGATCTCTGTCTGGAGTCAAGTCTACCATGAAAGTTGAAAAGTGATTAATATGCTTGTGTATCTCTGCACATATGAACGTCTGGAAGGACGTTTATGCACCAGATGTGGACCGTGCTTGTCCCTGGGCCACAGGATCACGGGCCATTCTTGTATCTTCACCCGAGGGGGTTACCTGGCATGGAGAAGGAGGGCTTCTCTCCTTGCCCCTGGCTTT